GAGATGGTGGTGGTAGTACTACCGGTGGAGGTGGAGGATGGTCCGGCACTTGAGGAAGCCGGGGCATCCACGGCGCCGACGCCTTGTTTCGTACCGACCACCAGTCCGGTCGATAACGCCACGGCAACCCCCGGGTCGTTCCGCCTCTCTCCCTCTCTTTCTCTCTCTCCACTTTGCTCCTCTCTTTCGCCCCCCCCCCTCAATTTTCTCTCCTTTCCTCCTCGCTTCCTCTTCCGCTTTCTTCCTACCTTTTTCCTCCTCCTCCTCCTCCTCTTCCTCTTCTGTTCACCCTCTTTCTCCCGTTTATTCTCTTCCACCCTTCATCGAATACACCGTTTCCACGCTCCACTTTCCTCCTCCTCCTCCTCCTACTATTTCACCTTCTCCTACCTAAGCCGCGATTCCTTCTCGTCCGATCTCTCTGCCATCTCTCTCTCTCTCTCTCTCTCTTCGTGTGTATTCCACAGGAGAGGCTTTCCACTCTCCTCCTTCTCCTTCTCCTCTTCCTCGTCTAGCTCGACGTTGCTCGCCTTGTTGTTGCGCCTTCGCCTCCCTCTCTCTCTCTCTCTCGAATAGAGAGACGGGAGAGACGTTCTCTTTGTCGAAGTTGGCAGCAACAGACAGCCCTCTGGCTGGAAACGGAGAGACGGTCCACCACGTACGCCTTAAGTCCGTAACAACTCTCTGATGCCTGGTCTCCACGATCAATTGCACTTTCAAAGGGGACCGGCCAACTACCGTTACGATTGTTTTCGACCCCGCGGTCCTCCGGATAAATAACGCTCGATAGAGATTCGAGTAAACATCCAAGAAACCGAGACGAGATTAATTAAAGGGGATCGAGTTAGATCGACTTTCGGTTTTACTTTTAGGGAGGAAGAGAAGAATCCCTACGAGGATATTTGAGCAGGAATTACGCGTTTATCGAGGAAAGAAGGGGAATCGTTCTCTCTATCGAGACCTCGTCCGATCCCGAGGAAAGGTCCATTCTTCTACAGTTCCCTGTGATATTTGTGTATTTCTACAGCCCCTCTCCTCCCGATTTATAATTATCGCGTGAAATCGATTGGAAATATGGCGTAACAGGGTGGATTATTTAAGGGAAGAAGAATTCTATTTATAGAATTTATAACGTTATCGTTTTAACTTTGGAGCAACGCCGTCGATATCTTCTATACATAGAGATATGAGTGGAAATTGTAGAGTTGGAATCCGTAGCAATCTTCGCGGGGGAGGAAAAAATAGAATATCGATTAAATTCGATTCGAGATTATCGAGTGTAATAATCGATAACGATATCGGATTCGACGTGATTTATTGTAATCCTTTGCTTCCTCTTCCTTTGCTTTTTCCATCTATCTAAAGATTAATTCGTTCTCAAAATAATACATGGATAATTTAATCGGTTGATTGGTCAAAAACGATAAACCATAAATTAACTCTCCAACTCGAGGGAGCGCAACCCCGAATATATAAATATTTGAAACGACCCGAGATTGACTCGTAAACTAAAATTCTCCCGAGAATTCTCTCTCTCTCTCTAAGTAACACGACACATACAACGAAACAAGAACAACGAAACAACGTAAAATCTCTAAACCACGGCGATTCAAACTCGGATAGATGATGAAGTAACGCGTGAAGATCGAGGGAAGCCCGATCGAGTGTGTGATCCACGCATCCCTTGTGAAACACACCCCGTGCCGGAGAACAAACGTAGAAAGAAGACACGTAAAAATCCGTGGAATGTCGAAATGGCCGAGTTCCCTGCCAAAACTCGAACGTGGTCGAGAAGCATAGCCGGAAATTGCCTCGTTATCCTCGACGTGGCTGTTATTTACGGATTTTAACGAGCGAAACCTTACGCTCGCGCTTCTCTCGTCGGCCGACCTCGGTTTCCAGCAACCCCATTTTTCGTTCTTCGCGCGTCGTCGTTTCCTTTCCGCCTCCGCCTCGCTCTCCTTCAAGAGGGAGGAAAGTAGGGGGAGGAAGAGAGGAGGAGACGTGGGAAAAAGAAACGATAGAACCGATCAAAACTATATTTCCTATTCCCATGGATCGATGGGAGAGAGCATCGAATGCAAATGCAGACAAAGATATTCCCGTTCTATAAAACGTCGGATTGCTTCCACTCGGTCGTTGATGAATACAGAGGGGGATCGGATGCCGCGGAGAATTTTGATCGTATGATCGTGGTATTTCGAGCAGGTTTGCGGATAATGATAGATCGAGTTTATTAAGCGTGAAAAAAATTGTTCGAATGGGGGATGAAATGGAATTCGAATAACGCGTGAGGGGTTTTGAATTGGTAAAGGTATCAACAGATACTTCTTATCGAAAATTAGTCTACTTCCATTTTATGTTCTTTTTTTCGTAGACTTTTCGTTGAAAAAGTTTGCTAGGAATTCGAGTAGTAGCCTCGCAATGGAAGAAAATAAAATCTCGTTGTACCCTCCACAGTTTAAACACAATTTTTCCCCGAGCATCCCGTCCGACATCCGAAAACAAAAGCCGAATTCGAATTACACTTCTATTTACCTGCATTTAATTTTCAGCGTTCCGTTAAATTCGGTTTCAATTTCCAACGATTTTCCTTTTATACATTCTCATCTTTTTATTTTTATCCCCCATTTATCCAATTTCCAATCAAGTTTCACACTTCTTCTTGCAAATTTAACATTAATTTATGTATAAATTACATTGTTTCAACACAAATTACAAACATTTTTCTTTTTTTTCTTTTTTATCAACGTCGTTTTAATCAATATTTCTATCGTTTCGTTAATTAAAATTGATTCCACGTTTCCATCGTTTTCATCTTATCCTTGTCGAGAGAGACGTACGTAGGTATTAAGAAATTTTTCGCTCATTAATCTCTCCTCGTCTCCTCGAATCGAAGCAACGAATACTTTGATACTGACCTATTTACCGAATACTAATGAATCGATCTTTTTTTTTAAACTTCTCGCGAATTGGAAGCTTGATAATTAACAAGTCAAGAAAAATAACCTCTAACGTTACCATTAATTAAAAAGAAAAAATCTCTCCCGATAAAATCCGTTGAAAATGTCTTTTTTAATAAACCATTCCTCAAACGTACCAAATTACACGATCCATCGTGTAGATACCACCGACTTCTCCAATCTCCAACATCCAATTTCAGCCCCACCTCCCTTAAATCTCACACTAAAGAGAGAGAGAGAAAGAGAGAGAAAGAGAGAGAGAGAGAAGAACAAAGTTCCCTTAGACTGCCGACTGTCTAACATACATCAAGGGGACCAAAATCGATTTCGAATCGGACGACGATTCCCTGTAAAACCTACGAGTAACACCACTTTTTCGAAACAAACAACCGACAACGATCCTTCCTAAAAAAGAAAAAAAAAAAAAAACAGAAAAGAACTCGGACACCGATTCGAGTCCTCTTTC